CTTTAACAAGCTCCCAGATGTTTTATATGCACATTGAGCTTTGAAAAGCACCAGTCTAAACGACTATTCACTTTAAAATGCTGCTCAAATACCATTAGTGGTGTTAATCATGGTGGCTGCATCGTAAGGTTTATAACTGTCAAATCACTATGTTGTACTCCTGATATTAGGATAATATTGTGTGTGAACTCTAACTTTAAAAAGAAAGCATTAGAGTATTAAAGTTGTCTAATCAACTCAGTTTAGAATTTTGTAAAGTAACTGCTAAGAAAAATCATTTTGCTTACAAAAAAATAATAATGGTGGCTGTACAAACTAAATAGCATTTATTTTTTAAATCAAAGGTTAAATTATTATGTATTGCAATTTCTTTCCTCTTCAGTTTACCTCAAGCTTTGCACAGTGACTTAAAAGTGCCACTTCAGGACTTTGAAAGCAAAGGAATTATCAGTTCACTGGGAATTTTACAAGGATCTGAAACCTCTTCCAGGGAACTAGGAGGAGAGAAATAGCAGAGCATCGAACCACCCTTGCTCACCGTAATTGCTAACATTTACAAAAATCTCTAAAATTGCAAGGAAATTTTATACATGCCCAATGAGAGACAATGATATAACTGAATAATCCAGAAATTGGGGTATATGACAGACTGTAAAAGCAATGTTCTTCAATTAGGAAAATTTCCTTAAAAATTGCTACTTCTAACAAGTACCTTACATGTCATGTATTTTGGTTTTCACAACAGTTCCGTGAGCTAAACTTTGTTATTCCCATATTACCACAGAAAAAATGAAGACTAGGGTGGCTGAGAAATAAATAATATCCTGAGTAGCTATTATAATGGTGAAACAGATTAGACTTGGCTGTCTGCAAGCTCATGCTCTTTTTATATTAGTGACTTTAGTGCAGAAGAGGTTTTGTTTGTAGGGCAGGAGAGTTTTATAAACGATTAATTAAAATATATTTTTTACATTCAAAAACATGTGAAGCCTGCCACATGAATCCAGTGGACAGTAGTGCTTTTAGCTATTCTTGTGATCACTCAGTTTACAATCTGATTATGCATTTTAGTATTACATATCCTAATGACGAAATATATTGTACAAGGTAGTGTTGAATTACAAGAATATGAATATACCAGGTTCTATCATAGATACCCTTCCAAACTATTTTCTGTGATAAACTTGACTTTTTTTTCTATTTGGGGTGTTATTTGTCTCTTCTAATTACTGACTTTTATTTATGCTTTCTTCCCTTTTATTTATTTATATTTTTATTTTTAAAATATGTCCTTATTGAGAGAGGAAGGGAGAGGGAGGGAGAGAGAAACATCAATGATGGGAGAGTCATTGATCAGGTGCTAGGGATCGAGCCTGCAACCCGGGCATGTGCCCTGACCGGGAATCAAACCTCCGTCTCTTGGATCCTAGGTCGATGCTCAACTGCTGAGCCACGCCTGGCCAGGCCTTCTCTTTTATTTTTTACATGAATTCATCAAGGTGTTTATCTGGTTTAAAAGAAAATGGAGCTAGAGCGACAGTTCCTCAAATCACCCAGGTCACTTCCTGTGTTTCTCTATAACACACATTGGCTATGTTGTTGGAATCAAACTTACACCGTTAACTAAGGCGCGGCCACGTTCTGTTCAAACTGGGCATGGCCTACCAATCAGCGGGGAATCCTGGTGGACTTCTGGGCGGAGATTATTTTTCTCTCTTCCACAGCTGTAAAGGGCGCAGGATGGTGTTGTGTGGAATAAATGGGAAAATGCACGAGAGATGGCAAACCTGTCCTGCACCTTCCATGACAAAGTAGGACAAAGACTTACTATGTATGTTGCATTTAATCTGCGTCATAAAAATAAAATAATAGTGGTTGGAAACTACAATATATATGTCTACACTTAACTTGACTGAGAGTTCTATGAATAAATATTTTAGAAATGCTTTGGTAAGATACAATTTCGGGAACAAGAGGGAAATTATGAAAACATACATTTTTAAAAATAACATTTCTTTTCCTCTGTCATTGGCAACTTTCTCATCACATGTAAAAATGAAAAAGAATATTGCCCAAGCTTTGAGAGAGAAGTTTCTAAATAAAAGTATGGCTGTGTTCTGCTAGAGTATAGTAATTTTAAATACATTATGAGAAAATTTAAGAGATTATACAAATATGTGACTTAATCATCAAAATTGATTCTAAGTGTGATTTGAGAGAAAGTAAAAAAGGCTGAATGAATAATATAAATCATGGGGAGATAAGTGGAATAACCAGAATATGGAAGGAAGAGAGGAAGATTGGGGGTCATCATGAGGAGCCCTCTTTGAATGCCACTGAAGCTGATATTTGAGGGATGAGAAGGAGTCTGTCATGAGGAACATGGGTGAGGGGATTAGAAGAAAAGATGAGAAAGTAGGGAGAGAGAAGGCAAGGGGCCTGGTGCTGAGTCTTGAGGATCTGTGACCCTTGAAGTCTGGTTGGAGAAATAACTTGCAAAGTAGGAAAGTCATGAGAACATAGAGTGGTATGGGGAAAGTCTGGTGACCTGCTGAAAGAGAAAATTAAAGAGTGTCCAATCCTGCTGAGAGATTATTTAAGGTAAGGACAGATTGTGTCTGTTAGAATTTGAACTTGGATGGTGGGAGACATGAATGTAGAAGAATCGAGAAGAAGCTGATGGGCATGTGCCAAGTGAGAAGGAGACACAAGAGGAGTAGGCAATAGTTGTGTAATGTTTGGTGGGAGGGTGGTGGTGGAAGAAATGAAGCATTTCTGGAAGAAGATATAGAAACAAAATATGGGTAATGAGTCTACTTTTCAGCTTCATTCTTTTATTATTTTGGGCCCCCTTGAGATTTCATAAAAATATTAGGATGGGTTTTTCTATTTATGCCAAAAATGTTATTGGGATTTTGATTCAGATTGCACTGAATCTATAGATCTCTTTGGGTAATACTGTCATCTTAACAATATTAAGTCTCAGCACCGGTTACTGAAAAAAGTGAGTTTTGGGGATATTTTTAAAGCTCACCTGAGGATATGTTTATTGATTTTAGAGAGACAGAAAGGGAGAGAGCTAGAGAAAGAGAGAAACATTGCCTTTCATACATGGCCAGGCTTGGGATTGAACCCCCAACCTCGATATGTGCCTTGACTGAGAATCGAACTCGCAACCTTTTGGTGTACAGGACAATGCTCCAGCTGACTGATCCACCTGGCCAGGGCGTGAGTTTATTTTTAATTTTACTTCAAAGTGGCCAAAGACATACAACAAAATGAGATGTGTTTACTCTTGAAAAACTGCTACTAGATTGGGAAAAACTAATGGCAATTCTTGCCTCGGGATGTTACCAATCCCATCCTACTCCACCACTCCAGCTCAGGCAGCAAAGTTTGAAACTTTATAAATGGTGGATGATGGTTGACTCAGTTTAGCGTTAATGGCAAAACACAGCAGCTTTACTAGAAAAGCTGGTGGACTCATTCAAGAGGAGGGGGCAGTAGGTTAATATACAATAGTCTACTCTTCTCTCCTATATGTTAGCAATGAATGATTGGAATTTGAAATGAAAACACAATTCCATTTATATTAGCACAAAAAATGAAATACATATGTATACATCTAATACATTCTATATAGGATCTATCTGAGAAAATCTAGAACACTTGATGAAAGAAACTGTAGATCTAAATAAATGAAGAAATACTCCATAGTTATAGATAGAAAGACACATTATGAAGATGCTAATTCTTCTCTACTGGATCTACAGATTCAAGGCAATCCCAGTGAAAATCAAAGCAAGTTATTCTATGGATATCAACATACTTATTCTGAAGTTTACATGGAAAGGCAACAGACCCAGGATAGCTAACGTAATATTGCAGAAGAACAAAGTCAGAGGACTGGCACTCCCACTTCAAGACTTACTATAAAACTACAGTAATCAAGGCAGTGTGATGTGTTTTCCTATATTTTCAAAATAGGTTTTAATCAAGCTTTATGTACAAATTGTTATACAATTATTTTAATAAAGTGAAATAGTAAGTGACAAGTACAAAACACAAAGCTGGCTCCTTCCCTTTAGCAAAGTATTAAAGATTTGTTCTTAGCCCCAAATTAGTAACTTGGTAACTGGACAGTCTATGAAAGAGGCTCAGGCACACTGTGAACTGGCATATTAGAAAACAAGCAGTCTCCAGTATAAATGAGGCCTGAGTTATCACTGCCCAAATCACTTCTGTGGAAGAATTTATGAAATGAACATTGAGGGACCAGTATGTTCTCATAAACCTGAGCACCCATGAAAACACGGTATAGATTATGCTAAAAATAGTCCAGTAGTAGTGTAGCTCAGTCTCTCGCACTCCCAATTAAATATCAACAAGAAAATACACATTTACACAATTTTACCAGATGGAAGTTAGTACTAACTTGAAGAAGATTGTGTTAAGTTAAAAATGTCCTTGCAACACCAAGAGCAAACACACACACACACACACACACACACACACACACACACCCTCAAAGCAACACAGCTAAATGTCAAAAGAGTTGAAATAGAGAACTAAAAAAATGTGTTTACCACAAAGGTAGCAGAGGATGATTAGACAAACAACAAGAAAAGTGAAACAAAGAAAGTAACATAAAATGACCTAAATCCAACCTTACCAATAATTCCATTAAATATAAATGAAACAAATTTTTCAAACAGAAGGCAAAGTCTCAGACTGTTTTAAAAAGCAACACCTATGTGTTTTCTACAAGAGATTCATTTGAAATTCAAAGTGACAAGTTGATAAAAAAGGGATGGAAAAGGAGGTGTCATGCAAATAATAACCATAGTTTAGCTGGAGTGGCTATATTATTGTTAGACAAAAGAGGTTTTAAGATTTCAGAAACATTAAGGAATAGCACTAGAAACAAAGAAGGACATTTTATACATACATGCAGACACACACACAGTTGAAAGATATAACAATTAAACATACATGTTTACCTAAAAATCTTTCCACATGGAAAGTCAAGGCCCAGGAACTTCAATGTAGAATTCTATAAAATTTTTAAGAAAGGAAAAATTTCATTGTATGCAAAGTGCCAAGGTAATTTGATAGAAATCATTTTTAAAGTAAATAATGATGGCACAAGTGGATATCATACACACAGATTAACTTGAGATGGATCATATATCTAAGATAAAAGCTAAAGTTATACAATTGCTAGAAGTATACAGGAGAAAATCTTTTTGGATTTGATTAGACAAATATTTCTTAGAGCCAAAAAGAACTCAAGGCAATAAAGAAAAAAAGTTGATAACTTGGACTGCATAAAAATTACAACCTTTTGCTCTTCAAAACATACTTTTAAGAAAATTAAAAGGCAAGTCCCATACTGAGAGAAAATATTTAAAACATATATCAGATGAAGAAATTCTACCCAGAATAAAACACATATCTGATGAAGAAATTCTACCCAGAATATATAAAGAAATCATATAACTCAATTATAAGAAACTAAAGAACTAATAGAATTTGGGGAAAAATATTTTAATAGATATTTTTCCAAAGGAAGTATGTAAGAAGCAAATAAGTACATGATAAGATTCTAAGCATCATTAATTATATGCAAAACACAAACTAATTTCAAATGAGATACTGTTATACATCTACTAGAATGGTTTAATTTTTTAAAAACCTGACAATTTCAAGTACATGTAAGGCTATGGAGCAATTAGAACTCTCAGGAAGTGCCAATGGGAATTTAAAATATGACAACAACTTTGGAAAACAGACTGGGAGTTTCTTACAAACATACATTTACCACATGACCCAGCAATTCCACTCCTAGGTATTTACCCAAGAAAAATGAAAACCTAACTTCACACAAAGACTGGCATGTGAATGTTCATAGGAACATTATTCATAATAACGCCACAAGCCAAATATCCTTCTATTGGTGAATGAATAAAAAAATATATGTCCAAACAATAAGATACTATTCAGCAATAAAAAAGAAACAAGTCATGGCAAATCTAAAACCATAATTTGACGTGAAAGAATCCAGATAGAGCAGGACATAACGTGTGATTCCACTTACGTAATATTTCTAGGAAAGGCAAAACTATAATAACAGAAAACAGAGGTCTGAGCAGGCAGCCTCTCATGATTAGCATGACTACACAGTATATAAATTTAATAAAAAACAAAGATGTATACATTTGAAGACTAATATAAGTGACTTATGCAAATTATATCTCAATACAGTTGATAAAAATTCATATGCATTATTATTGAAAATATCACAGAAATGATTCACTTTCTCAGTGTATCATATCAGGAAACACCTAGATCACAATTTTTTCGCTGTTTTACCTGTTACTGAAAGTTTCATCTCAAATCGTATCATTTCCATTTGTAATTGGTAAGTGTCTTCTAGGGAGAAACTTTAAGACTCTTCAAATATCATGTTTTATTAAACTGTAATTTACCCATTATTTTAGCAACCATTGATAATTCCTGCCTACAAAAATTATTGCTATGCCAATTGTGATTTTATATAGGATGTCCCCCCCAAATGTGTACACACACTTTGAATAATTATAAAGGTAGTGTTTATTAAAATATATTTCATTTTCAAAATTGAGCTATCAGCTGTTAAAGTATATGTACATTTTTTTGAGATACCCTGTATTTCCATCATTGTTTCCACATTTATTGGTTGGAATTCTACTGTATGGAAGAGCTATCCCTCTCATTTCTTAAGTAATTTATTTATTTATATCAGTATGAACTCATGGATATTTATTTTGTTCCATGAACTTTATTTAATTTGTTTCTTGAATTGCCCCAAGTCTGGCAATGGCAGATTCTTCCAAATTGGTTTCTGTGTCCTTTCAATATGCTCACCCCCAGTCTATTTTTAGATTACTCGTATTTTCTGGCACCAGATTTTCCAGGCTCATCTCACATTTTCCATGCCTCAATCCTGGAATTAGCCATTTTTCCAAGGACCCAATACCTGTTAACACAATAATTAGAAACCAAGATGTGAGTGCTAGCAACGTTCATTGACTGGGTGTTGTCGTTTCTAGGCTTGCCCAGTAGTCAAAGCTGGGAAATATATGTATAATTCTGTATTAGTCAGGATTCTCCAGAGAAACAAACATATATACATGTATCTATGTATTTGTGTGTGTGTGTTTATACAGAGATGCTCAGAGAGTAGGGATAGAGAGATAGGAGGAAGGGGGGAG